GTCCAGTATCAACTCAGAGCAGAGACCTTTGATCTGTGGTTTAATACCAAGATGTGATGACGGAGACCTTTGAGTCTTTTTGGAAACTCTAAGATAGCAGGTGGTTTAGTCCTGGAGTAATGACCAAGATGCCAACCCTGAACCCTGATTAGGACACCAGCAAGTCACCTCTTCCTCCTTTTAGAAAACAAGGCTGACTGACTGCTGAGCTCCAAGCATTTTCAGGATTAAGTCTGCCCAAGACATGGAGCCTTATTTTTCTCTCCACGCTTTGGGGAGATAAGTTACCACCGCTCTGTACTTCCAAGGGCACTGGTGCACGTCCTGGGCCCTCCATCAATTCAGGCAGCACTGTAAGAAAGCAGTGTCTAGCTACTCACATCACTTCCCTCACTTCTCTCCACAAACAACAGGGGTTTCCCAGGATCATGTGAGCTGTAAATAAATGCCTGCCCATTGATCACTGCAGCTATTTGCAGTTTAAGCCTCTGTTCTCCCAGAATGCAATGCGAACTCCCCATTTCTCCTTGTCGCTCAGCACTGCCAAGAGAAAAATCAAAGCAGAGGCCTTTGGGGAGCACTTAAAATCATGAGTCAGGTTTGATCAATAGATGAATTGCAGGGAAGATATTACCATCATGCCCTGCTGTGAAGGTGTAATATATCCTGCGCTCCCCTAGGTACATTGGGGTCCATAGTCTTACAACTTGTTGATTTTCTTCCATAAACTAGTTCTCTTTGCCACTCAAGGGAGTACTTTACAACAATATCATCAGAGTTTGTGGAGAAGCCCAAAGCAAAGAGTACTTAAGCATGTCAGAGTGGACCCCGGAAGTGGCCCATGGAGAGCTGTAGAGTAAGCACTTCCTTCGTGGAATGGCCAAGATGCAGACCCATTATGTGTGTAAGCCTGCGCAGCTTACCCGTACCCCTCCACAGGAATCAATGACTGTTAAAAAGTGCCAGCTATTAAGGAAACTACTCAGGCCAAGGCACCAACATTTGTCACAGGTATTCCGGGGAAATGTATCTGTGATTAGGGCCTTTAAAATGACCATCAAAGATGTGTTCAGGAAGAAGTACTCAGAAGAAGCAATGTGAAACCATTTATCTCCAAAGCCAAGTTTTAAGATCTTATTTTTACAGAGATGAACTGCTTTCAATAAAAGAAAGGTTTCAGTATATTTTCTCAAGATAATGAAGGGGTACGCTTAAGCAATACTCCATTCATTTGAGAATAGTTTCATAGGCATATGCCTTAATATCAATTTCCCTAGCATTATTTTTACTAAGTGTGTTTGTTTCTGTGCTCTGAGGAGATACTCACATGTCCATTGATTGCTCTGTGTTTTATAGGTGACCACCGTGTTGGAAATACAGAGTCTGTATTTCAGAAGCAAATACAGGTGTATTGTTTCTTTGCAGCACTCTTCCACTCTTGTTCTGTGGGGCTTCTTCTTTACTGTACTTTGGATAAAATCCAAAACAAATGACTTTTGGCTTAATCCTGTTTAGTAAAAAGCTATCCACCCATTTCTAGTCTCAAAATAGATGTCAGTTCAAGAATTAAATATAGAGTTCAAGGTAATAGAAACATTTAATTCCATTTAAGGCTTAACTTTTCTCCTCCTTTACCTAGGTCTGCTTGGGCTGAGTCACTGGGATCAGTGGGTTTGACTTTTTATCCTCTTCTTCACTTAGGCTATAAGGCCGAGGCTGAGAGAGAGGGATCCCTGGGCTGCCTGGTTGGCTGTAGAGCTCCTCTGGTACCAGGCTGTTAGGGTTTGCAGTGCTGAGGTGCCCTCTTTCTTTCCCACAAAGTCTGCCTTGTGGCTTCTCCCGAAATCCTCTTCTCCAAGGCTGTCATCAGTCTGCTAGACACAGCTCCTGCATCTCTTTGGCGAGTCCAGATCTCCTTCTGAGGCTGCGGAGCAGCAGACTTCAAACCTCTGGCCACCCAAAGTGTTGTTGCCCTATCCCCTAACCTGGATTGCAGGTGGGAGAAAAGTCAGCACCCCACATTAGCCTGCAGAGGCCTCCTGGGCAGATTCCTCTGTTCTCATGCACTCTTGGAACCTGGATTGGGGTTCTGGGAATGGAGAAGCTGCTTACCTGCATGTGCTTCATATGACAAGTTAGGCAGATGTGGGTCGCCAGAAAATCTACTTATGGACTTAATTGGACAGCCTCACACAGGCTTTATGCCTTGTTCTAGCAGAAGAAAATATTGTTGGAGATTGTCAGGTATATAGATGGTTAAGTCTCTGCAGAATTACCGGAGAGAGGAGGCAGCCAGGTAAAATATGGATGGAAGTAGCTTTAAAGTTGACATCCAGTGAACTGAGTATTCATTTGAGCATCAGAGATTTGAGAGAAAGTATACCTGTGATTCCAAGAAGAAAAATGTTCTCCCAAGATGTCTGGTTAACCAAGTCATATTTGTCTCTTTGTTCTTTCAATTAATGGTTCAGTTTCTCCTACATTTTGCCCTGATGACATATGGCAAGTGATCATTTTCCTAAACCATTTCTCATCTTAGCTCCTCTCTGTTGAGGAGATGTGATAATCTGTAGCTTTTGCCATCCCTGTTCTGTGGAGAAAGATACAAAAATGAGTGCGGGGACAGGATTGCCCAGTGAGAACTTAGAACAGAGACCCCAGGATCTTGGCTTCTTCTTGTACTTTACACTTTGGCAGGATTGGGTTTGGGGAATAATTTCACAGAGACGGGGAGAGGTTAATGCAAACCTGTGGCTGTCTCATCTTCCTGAGTGATAATAAAATATTTCCCCTGCTCTTGAGTTTAGTTTTGTAATTAAGAATCCAGTCTAGTGAATACTGCTTATTCTTCCCAAGACTCACCCTTTCGGAGAGAGGGTATGAAAGGCAGAACACAGAGGCTAGCATGTGCTAGGTAAATGCTCTCCACTGAGCTACATCCCAAGTCCCACCAATTTAGAACATACCCATAGATGGTATTGCCACACCTGGGGTATGAATCTTGGAGGTGGTTGTGGTTGTCATGGGAGTCCTGTACTTGGCACACTGATGTCTGTGTGGTAGAAGAGCAGGAGACAGAGGCTCAGCCTTGGGCACACTTGCCATAGAGCTAAAATAGGACAGGCCAGGATCTCAGGGATATATGCTTTGTTTGTTGCCCAGAGTGTGAGTTAACAGTGGCTGCTTCTTTAATTAAAGGAACTAACCCTCTGTCCTATGCAGAGAGTTTACAAGCCAGGTTACTCTTCAGAGTGACGGTGGTGGACAGAGGGCCTTGTTGTGATCATTCATTCATCCCATTTATCCATCCACTCTTGGATGAGGAGAGGAGCCAAGGAAGGAATGCCTGTGTCTCTGTGCAGATCGGATACAGTGCCTTTATGGTCCAGGGCTGTTAGGTCCATGTCTACATCTGCCCAGTGTTGCTGCTCCATGTCTGAAACAGTTGCTGACCCCAGCGTGAGTGAAGGGCTTCCTCTCTGACAGCTCTAAAGGAGGATGCCCTGCAGGTTGTCTGGCTCAGCAGCCACAGCCTTCCAGGTGAAGACGCACACTTTGGGCACAGTGGCAGTCCCACTTGAGGTCCAGGCATGCGTGGCTCCACCCACTAACCTGCACAGGTCATGGAGTTGGCAGTGGATTAAGGAGAAAGGATGGAAAGTGAAAGCTGCTAATTTGGCTTCTCAGCTTTGCCCTTTCCTTCCCTATTCTGCATGTATAGATTATGTTGGGTTGAGGGAGGCTGCCAGTTACCTTTCCTATGTGCATGTGTGTGCATGTGTGTGTGTGTGTGTGTGTGTGTGCATGAATCGTGTGCACACATACTCATAAAACGATTCTAGTTGTTTGCCTTCCTCCCTTTGCAGGACCCTCCCCTCTGAGTTGGATGGCCTGGAGCTGCAGTTTTCTGCATCCAGAATATCCTAACCCTCACATTCACAGGGTGCCTGCTGTGACTTCTTCTCAAGATGTTATCTGTTGCTACTTGAACAGTTCTGAGAGTCAGATAGACATGTTCAGAAAATTTACACTTGGTTTTCATATTTGCAATCCTGTGGTTTTGGCATTTCTCCCCTCACAGTACACAACTACTTTTCAAAATGCTGTGTTGTCCACTTCATGGAAAAGCCAGTGCACATTTGATGATGAACAGATGGTATCCAGAGGTCTGACCAGTCTGGTGTCCTCCTGGCCCCCTGGCAGGGGCTGGAGAAGGATGCCTATAACATCCACTAGCTGTCGAAGCCTCATCAAGGCTGGTTCTGCTGTCTCACCTTGGTCTTTTGTCCTGGCTGAGGAGGGGTTGGGTCCTGTCCACTGGCAAACCACATGGCATGGCTGTAAGGCCAGGGCTGATTTAGCTGCTTCTTGGCATAGGCACAGGAGTTCAGCAAGCAGTTTGACATCACTGAGGAAGTTGCTGAAGTTCCAGGGCATGAATACCCCTGGGAATGCAAGAGAGCAGCTTGATTTGCCCATATACCTTGGCAAGGCACGCTGCCAAGAGTGGCCTAGCTGGACTGTAAGCCCAGGCAGTGGCTGTAATTTGCTGAGAGCGTTTTCATGGCCTCCCCTTGTCTGCTGAATCCCTGAGAACACTGCCCACTGCCTTGCACTTCCTTGATCGGTAGACAGCTATGTATATTGGCCTTTCAATGTGGGTATCCTTCCTGAGCTTCTCCATCCAAGAAGCTATGCGGTCCAGCATGGAGCCATCCACCACCATTGAAGACAGGGCCAGGACTTCAAGAGGGGGTGCAGTGCTATCTCAGAAAGTGGTGCTGGTCTGTGGCCCAGGCCTCTTATGCTCGCCACACCGAGTATCAGGACAAGAAATCAGTTGCTAGACTATAGGGGAGACTGTAAAACCTTCCCTCAGAATGTGGAATATTGAAATTTCAAGTCCATTGTGAAATGATTACTTTTTATCTTTGATTGCTTGATTTTTCAAAGCTGATGTGACAAATGGAATGTTAATGACAATTGCTTTGGTCCAACAGATAAAAGCAAAGAGCACAGCCGAGCACCCTGCTCTCCTGCCCTGATGCTACGCGCGGCAGAGAGGAAGAGCCGGGCCGGAGACAAAGAAGATAAGGTGGGTCTGGCAGTTGAGAGTGTTGCAGAGACACAGATCTCAGCTTTGGAGGATCTGGGGCCAGGGCACCTTCACACCTGTTTCCTACAAGGTTCTTGTGAAATGATGACTGGTCAGCTCTGACCGCCAGCTGAATCGAACCTGCAATTCCATAACCTTGAGGGACAGAGGGCACTTGAAAAGCAGCTCCCTGTCCTTCTCAGAGGGGCTGTCAGCTCACTGGTGGGCACTCGGTCAGGAGTGAGTTTGGCTTCCTCTTTACCTGTGGTCCATTTTCAGAATAAAGAGAGGACACAGGGCATCCAGGCTGTGTGAAAACAGACAAGGCTCTGCAAGAGTGCAGTTTATTAGATTTTTCTGTTAAAGAAAACCCAAGACATCTTTATTTTTCTTAAAACATTCAAACTGGAGGTCTGCTTCTACCATTTGCTAAATGGCATTTTAAAGACGGACCAGGACAGTGCACTTGATATAGTTAATGTTTTTCATAGCACAACCCTTCCCCTGAATAACTGAAGGAATTTACTTTGCTGCTATGTTGGAAAATCACAAATCACATTTACTCTGCCATCCTCTGTCAAGATATCCTGGGGCCCTGGTCCTACTCATTATCTTGCTAATATTCTCTCCTGCTTTACCTTATTGGGTATTTCTGCCTCATGGTCCCCTGCAAGTTTCCTGTTTTTCCTGGTCTCTATGCCAACTTGCTGTTAGCTTTATTTGAGGACATAATCACTGTGGGGCTTCCATCTTTTTACCAATCCCCGGTGTCATTAAGTGCTGAACATCAATCACAAATGTTAGTTAGTGCAAATTACACTTTTGGCCCTGATGTATGACTTTTCTATGAGATTAGCCTCCAAGCCAGAATTACATATTAATTGCACAGATAGCCTTGCTAGTGCTTTCCATAAATAGTTGCTTTATCACTGGGTTCCACGAGCCTAATTCACTTTTATTACTTCAGCACAGAACAGGAGTTTTATACCATGATTAGCCATTTTTATCACCAACAAGAAATCATAACCAGCATGTGCCTCATGAAGAAGACCTTGGCAATTAGCTGTAGAGAATCCTAGCATTGCCAAACTTAAATGTTCCTCCCTGTCACAAATTATACCCTACCATATTTACTTGAATAATTAGTGGAGGTAATCTAGTACTCAGAGACTCCTTGTTGAGTTCTATTGTTCAATTAACTTCCTAATGAAAATCTCCTCCCGTTTTCCTAATTGGATTAGTAATATAAACTCTGGTCTGAATATATATTTTTGAGACAAGTGTTTCTGAATACTCCCTGTTAAGCTAATTATTTATCCTGACCTTATTTTCTCACAGGAAACAAAGACAGTTCCTACCACCTGAAAATTTTAAATAAAAAAAAAATCTCAAACTTGCAAATACAGGGAAGATTATATAAAGTACAAATCATTTATTGAATGTACTAATCGGAAATGAGTGGAGGTCTATGGGAAGCCCCGGTGAAACACTAGGATGAACACGCACATATGTCATTCCTTGCTCATTGTTTAAATAGATGCCCTTTCCAGATTCCCCTTGTCACAAAGACTATGTGGGGATTTGTGTGGCTGATGTCCCATCTCTGGGACTTCTCATGCTTCCTCTTAGCAGGGCTTCCTGCACCAGCTCTTCCTTCTTAATAACATGATCAACAAGAAGCAGCTTCACTCTGTTATCAACATTTTTAGCAAACAGCCACATTGGATAGGTCTCCTTCCCTGGACTTATTTCATTCTTGACTCTTAGCCTTATTTGGTTTTCTTTTGACTTTTTGTTTGAATTTGATGCTTCAGCCCTTCCATAACTTAGCACCTTCCACTGGAATGCTAAACTGACACTGGGGTTCCTGCAGCAGGACTCGGAGTATCAACTTCATTCAACAATGTTCAGTTATCTTGTCACCTGTGCTGTCTCCTGCAGTACTGACATTAATGCTGATAGAAGCAGAGGTTCTAAAATTTTAGGATGATGTTCAATTTTTTAAAAATTGCAGCTTAGAATCAGGTTGTTGCTTAGAATGATGAAGGCTTTTACTCTCACCTGATTTTCCAAAGACACAAAAAACATAATCTTTGTCATACTATTCTAAGTTTGAGATTAAACTAATGTAAATAGCTGAGGGAAGAAAAGTAAAATTTTTACCACAAGAATTTACTTTATTCTATTGTGATTTCATTTTTTTTCTTCTAGCCATACCAAAATTGTGATGATACATCTTTATGTAAAAAAAAAATCTTTCCAGGGATTTTTTAGTACTCCTAGTAGGGATTGGGTTATATTTGCTCATTATTGGACAAGTGACCCATATCTATTCACATCAATATGACAATCTAAGTCTTGGCTCTGTGCTCAGGTTGGAATTAGGATGGTCCATATTTTCTAATTTCAAACAATGTTTGCTTCTACCCAAATTCTGTCTGTAGCTGACACTAATCAAGTGTAGTAGTCATAGTTGGGTATGTGTAAATGTGTGTGTGTGTGTGTGTGTGTGTGTGTGTGTGTGTGTATTCAAGCACCCTTTGTTTTCAAAATGTGGACAGAGACACAGTGACACTTTTCAAACTTGGCAGAAAATCAGAATCATTCACACATAGTAAGATGACTCTTAGGTCTTCCCCATCAGATGCTCCAGAAAGCCAGAATTTGCCTGGAATCTCTGGGATTGCCACCCAATGTTTCGAAGGCCCAGTTTCATTTAGCAATTTGAACTTGCCACTTCCTCTTCCCATGACAGACCTGGGTGGGCAGGTGTCTAGGATCCCCTCACAGGTAGAGGTGCTCTACCATTATAGACAGAATTTTGGTTGTGGGATGCATTGACTGCATCCATTAGGTCAGGCTTATTTCTGGAGATAAATCCAGGGAATTTTACTGCCCCAAAGACATCAGGACCTGAAGCATCCTCTTTGTGGCTTCCCATCTGTCTTCCATTCAGGAAAGACAATTCAAAATAATTAGGGGGTGCTTTTGCTGAGTTATCTGTTGTATATCTATTGTTATTAATTCTATATCTATGCATGATTGCTCACCACAATTGCTTTACTATTTTCTTTTGAAAGGTCATTATGTGTTGGCTACCAGAGGCTGGTCTGTCTGCAAGAATCTTTGTTATCCTTCACTTGGTTGTCTGTAACTGAAGATGAGTGTTTAAAATTAAAAACAGTGTTCTTTCCTCTTTCTGTTGAAAGGAGCTTCCATCTATGCTAGTGAGGAGGGAGGACAGCACAACAAAAGGCAACAGACCTGTGGCTTCCACCCCAGTACCTGGATCCCCCTGGTAAGATGCCCAAAACCCAAGAGCAGTGAGAAATCATCTTATCTCACCATTTGCTTGATGTCACCCCCAAAAAATGCATGCTGCATAGGTATATTGTGTTTTAAAAATGAATCTGTAACTCATGGCAGGTATAATTCTAACTTCTGTTTCTATAGTTTTTACATTCTGCAGAAAGAAAAATAGCTCTTAAGTGATAAGTTCTCCCACTCTGATATATTTGTGAATATGGATTAAAATACTAATGCTGTTGCATATGTATATGTGTATATACATATATACGTGTGTATATATATAATGAGAAAGAGATCATTGAGCGATGGTGGCTCAAAGTCAACGTAGCATATTGTCAGCTTCAAAGGATTTTCCTCCCTTTCGTCCAAGAAAAGGCAGTACTGAATGACTGTTAATTAAAGACGTGTCTCACTTGCTTCAGTTGCCCTTTGAGGATTCCTGATCTTTGAGTATGCCATACTCAAAAATACCCTCCACGAGGGAGCCACAGTCTTTGGTTTTTAAAAATGCCCTTTTATAATGGAGTAATTTGGAACCAGGATAAAAAGGTTATTATAGTAAAAATTAGTTTTAAAACCTGAAGATTAGAGTGTAGTATGCAGCTGGGAGGAACAGCTAATTTGAAGAACAGAAATAGTAACTACTTGCGTCAGTCTAAGTCGCCATCCATGCACAAAGAAGCAATCTGCTGATGGTCTCACAGCCTCACATCAGTGTCGTATACTAAGTACACATCCCTTGGGATCAGAACCTATGGTGCCTTGTGCCCAGGCCTGATTAGCTGTTTAGGATGGTAAACCTATCCTACCTATAAGGACCACATTTCTTCCTTGTCCACATAGGCAGTGTCCAAGCACTGGGGGCACCTAGATTTCTGCCTTTAGCTGACGCTGTTTTACACCCAGTGTCTCAGGGGAACTGCTTCCTCAAACCCACCAGGTCTCCATTGGGTATCTATGATGCAGTTCAATTCTGACTCCAGCTGCTGAGAATTAGGAATTGGCTTCAAACTCTAGAGGCTAGAAGTTAGTCCACAGGACTGCCCCAAGGCAAGCACCAACCACAAATGGGGCCTAGCAGACTTCCTACACTTCTGCCAGGATGACTATAGATTCAGGGGCTTTCTCTCATGGCTCCCATCAGTTTCAGTGGTCATAATCTAGAATGAGTTACAGAACTCCAGAAAGCACTTTAGTTATTACAATTGCATTATAAAACATATGACTTTGGAACAACCCAATGGAAGACATGCATAGGGCAAGGAGTGGGGAACAGTCTTAAAGCTCCCATACCCTCTCTGGGCACCTAGTACCATGACATGTTCACAGACAAGAGCAAACCCCTAGTTCATGCCTCAGTTTCAATGGAGATATCTTTATGTAGGCATGATTGGACATTGGCCAAGTGATTAACCTCTTTCTTCTGCTCCCCTCTTTCCCAGAGGACCTGGAATGGGGCTGAAAGTTCCCACTAGCCAGTCACATGGTTGGTCTCTGGAAATCAGTTCCCATCCTGAATTATTTAGGGGTGCTTGGTTCATGTCATTAACAAAGCTTGGATGTGATCACAGGGGCTTACCAGCATAGTGGAAGATGCTGCTCTCACTCAACAAGTCCCAAAAGCTTTAGGAGCTCTGTGCCAGGAACCCAGGAAAAAGATGAGAGATATTTTGTTACACCACAAATGCTGTCTGGAATCTTTGATAACAAGCTTCCCACATGTGCTTCCAAGGCAGGCACACCTCAGCCCATCACAGTGGGGGAATCAGGATAGCTCAGGGGCACGGTAAGCCTGTCATGGCTCCCATAGAGTTATCACTGGAGGGTTGTCACTATGTAGAAGACATGACCTGAGATACTAGGACCTTCTAGTAATGAAGGATGAAGTTTTACTTCCCTAATAATACAACACAATGCAGAATGGTATCTTGGACATCGGCAGGGTCCTCAGCTGTGGCTTGTTGCCTCTGGAGGGGAGTCCTCAGCCTATGAATTATAAATAAGTACACAAGCCTGCTTGCTTTGGGTCCCTTGAGTGCCACATGATCATGATGCAAAAGAGCTCAATCCCTGAGGCAGAGGTTGTTCAGGGCTATAGAACGAGAGTGGACAGCTGTGACCAAAGGCCCTAACCCAGGAAAAGGATCTTACATCATCCTTGTAGGTTTTCGAAGGTGGAGCAACTAGGCACAAGATACTTTCTGATGATGCAGTGAACAAGGATTGATGTGGTACAGGCAGTGAAGAGGACAACCAGGGAAAGCTGGGAGCAGAGCTATGTGACTGAGATATGGCTAGAGAGGGCTTGGGTCTGGGGAACAGAGGAAGAGCTGCAGGGGCCCCACTAGATGTACAAGTTTCCGATATTCTTGCTATATGATACTAGTGCGTGGTCATTCCTGCCCTCTGGTATCCTACTGGCACATCTGATGGAGAAAGTGAATTCCCAGCAAAGCCCAGCTAGGCAGAGATGTGGGTTATCATGTAACAGGAAAGAATCTAAATGCCCTCAGGTGATTAATAAGCTCCATTTCTTGGCATGCACAGTTTGAGTCAAAGCTAGGCCCACCTGCTAGAATCGGTGTCATATTATAGATGTAACAAGGATGCCTCTGATGTTTCCCTTGCATTCCTTGGTTTCTTCCCCTCTGTCTTCCATGCCACTTGAGCTGGAGTTCTTTTCTTTGTTGAACAGCCCTTTTTCTAAGGATGTATGTGTTGGAAGTCCCTCACCAGACCCGAGAGGTAGGATTTGCACTTCACCTGAAAGACGGAGGGACCTTGACGTTGCAGGGAGCAGAGTAGCCATCAGATCCTGGCTTCTCCTGTGGCTGTGGCTCTGATTGAGAAAGGACTTTGTGTGCATCCTGGAATGGCATCCTATGGGATCCTTAGGAACAGAATCCTTCCTGACACTACAATCTGCCACCAGAAACAGAGCTCCTCTGCCAAGGCTGCCAGTGACTGTCTCCCTCAATGAACTCAAACCATCCTCCGCAATCCAGATCTTGGAGTCTGCTAGTGTCAGGTTTTTCCCAGTGACTCAAGTGCTCAGTGGGACCCCTGAGGGCACAGGGGGTAGACACATGGCTCCATCATTGTCCTCTCTCCCTGCCACCCATCTAGAACCACTCATGGGTGCATAAGCTCACATAAGAACTTTCCCAGGTGCAGTGGTTACCTGCTGAGCACTTCCTGATAAGCAAGTAGTTCATTTGGCAAAGAAGAGCCCAGAGGGACTTGTGGGCAGGTCTGCCAGGACTAGTGAGGCATTCAGAGTGTGACAGGGCCACAGCCTCAGGTGCAGTTGCCCATTGCTGTTCAGATTGAATAAGTGCTATGGCAAATGCTCAGGCTAAGAGGCCAGAACTGTGATGGCTCCTCCAGGCTTTCCTACCTGCTGATGGGGAGGCTGTGATTTGCCCACCTGGATGACTGGAAGGAGCCCTCTCCCTGAGCTCACTGTCCCTTCGTCCTACTGAATTCACCCCAACCCGCAGGAGAGAATGAGCAGGCAGTAAAGTAGATAAAGGTCTTAGATTTCAGGTTTAGGGTGAGGCATCCCTTGTGGAAATGGTTAGAAGAGTGGTAGAAAGTGGCAGATCTCTGGGAGTTGAGCTCCAGGTCCCTCAGGGTCCTTTGGGAGCTGTCAGATGACAGCTGTCTGATGACAAGAGGACAGACAGGATCACTAAGGAGGTTCTGATCAGTTACACAGTAAAGCTGTACTTCTCACAAGCAGTAGCCAGAGCCCTTCGTCTGTATTCAGGGAATCTGTTTTGGTGAGACCTATGATGGATGGGCCATCATTTGTTGAAGAATCTCCTGGCAAGTCTCGCATCAGGCCATTCAGCAAAATCAGGCTCAGGGCTCAGGAGACCAGCTCACTTCAGATCCCTGAATGCGAATCTTTAGCGGGACATCTTTATATCTCAACATCAGACCAAAACTCTCCTAAGGAAGCCTGGCTGCATGGGAATGCCACCTAGACTGAGTGTCATGATTTGGGGGATATTTTGCAAGGGAAACAATATAATACAGGACACATATTTTACAATATTATTTATAGCAGTCACCCAAAGAATGACATACAAAAGAGTACAGGAAATCTGTCCACACACTAAAAATAAGGAATCTAGCTGAGGGCCTGGATCCCACAGAAATGTCCTGCATGAGGCCAACTAAAGACCTAGAGCTCATAACAGTGCCTCCCACGAGTCCAACTGGAGGCCTGGAGCCCATAACAATATCTCATGCAGGCCTATTTCATGGATTTGTGCTGGGAAGGCCCAAAGATCAGTGGTGGAATCTAGAAATCTGTGCCAGCGGGATGAAGGATCTGTGCTAGCAGGCTGAGGGGTCTACACTAGAGCCAGGAAGTGACGTGCAAAGTAAGTACCAGAACTCCCCTTAAAAGTACTGCAGCTATCCTCAGCAACAGTGAGGTCCTGAGCTCCTCTGATGGTAAAGACAGCTGAGTTCCCATCAGGAAAGCCAGTGCAGCAAGCTTCTCCAGGAGACTGGCAGTGCACCATCTTCCCCTCCAGAGCCAGAAAACAATACTCAAGTGAGGACCAGAGCCCCCGAAAAGTGAACCAAAGCTATTCTCAGGGCCAAGAAGGTCCCAAGCTCCTCAGAGGATGAAAACAGCCAATTTCATCAGGAAAGCCAGCATTTCAGTTCCTCCAACAGAACCATTGGCTGCTTACAGCTTCTACCAACTCTCAACAGCCTTTCTCAGCTCCCAAAAGCCTAACTTCTTCTCCAGTTCTGCCTTTTATGGTGCTGGCAACCATCCTCAGATGGGCCTCCCACACCCAGCCCCAAGCTAACTCAGTTCAGCTGGGAGTTATAAGTTGCTCATCAGTTGTTAATCCACTACACTGGGCTAATGTGGGCTAAGCTAGAATTGTCCTGAATTCAGGGAGCTCTCTGAGCCAAGCTAGAATCACAAGGAGACATGAAATTTGGGAATCTACTCAAAACATG